CAACATCAGTGAGGAAATTTGAGTAGTTTTGATCCAGAAAGCGAAATTTGAATGTCAGACACTTAGGTGCAAGATTATGCCAAAATTTCGTGTTTTCCGTCCTGTGTTTGCTCATTTCTCGAAAGCGAAATGAACAAGAACGCTCCTTTTTACATCATTCCAGAGAAAACTAAATTGCCTTTCTAGAAAGTGAACCATCGATAAGAAAATGTTGGCAGTTTTCTCAAAAAAGTCTTGATTTCAATAAGTTTTAGATTTGCGTGTTTTTTTTGAGTTGCAAAATCGACTCAAGCATCATGCTGCTTTTTTCGCAGTTTCTCAGGAACCATTTGAGCCACAGAATTCGTTTTGACATCGTTGGATAGACAATTGAAAAGTCGATTTAGTTATAACAAGATCAGTGAGGAAATTCGAGTAGTTTTGATCCAGAAAGCGAAATTTGAATGTCAGACACTTAGGTGCAAGATTGTGTCAAAAATTTTATGTTTTCCCTCCCGTTCTCGAAAGCGAAATGTTTTATCCAAAAAGTCTTGATTTCAAGACGTTTTAGATTTGCGTGTTTTTTTTTGAGTTGCAAATTCGACTCAAACATGACGCTGCTTTTTTCTCAGTTTCTCCGGAACGATTTGAGCCACAGAATTAGTTTTGGCATCGTTGGATAGAGAATTGAAAATTCGATTCAGTTATAACAACATCAGTGAGTAAATTCGACTAGTTTTGATCCAGAATGCGAAATTTGAATGTCAGACACTTAGGTGCAAGATTATGCCAAATTTTCGTCTTTTCCGTCCCGTTTTTGCTCATTTCTCGGAAGCAAAATGAGCAAGAACGCTCATACTTAAATCATTCCCGAGAGAACTAAATGGCCTTTTTAGAAAGTGCTGCGCCAGTAAGGAAACGTTGGCAGTTTTTTCAAAAAAGTTTTGATTTGAAGAACTTTCAGATTTGCATGTTTTCTTTGTGAGTTGCAAAATCGACTCAAACATGACGCTGCTTTTTGCGAAGTTTCTCAAGCCCCATTTGAGACAAAGAATTCATTTTGGCATCGTTGGAGAATACTGTTCGATAGAAATGTAATTGTTTCAGCATTAGAGACCAACATCATCTATAACGTAGGTATTAAGGATTTAGTTGAAAATGCATTTTTTTAAATTTTGATACCTAAAACCCTATTTGATAGCGCTTTTTGAAGACAAAAAAGACAAAAAACTGTATAGCGAAGATAAAGATAAATATCTTGCGGAATTAAATTTTAAGCCGGGAAACCCGAGCTTTAAACACAACATTAATAGAAATTTATTAAAATAAAACCTTAAGTGATACGCACTTGATCTCGACGGCACTCAAAAGAACTACATACTTTATCACTCCAACAAAAAAACCGATATCTACTTATGGTACCTACCATTTTCTGATTCGTTTGTAAAGGTGTTAAGTCTGAGCCCAAAAAATCAAACACCAAGTCAAACGTATTTGGAAAAATCATCTAAAGAGAACTGGAAATGATAAACTCTTGATTTTTTCAGCAGCTTTGCAGTAGTAAATTTGGCCCTTATCAAATAACTTTCTCATACGTTTTTGAATGTGGACGGTATCAGAATTTCAGTTTTAATTAACACGTCTTTCTCAAAAAGGCACGTCGAAAACGGGTAGAAATATAGTTTAACGGAAATAGACAAAATCTTACACATTTTTGTTGCCTGTTAGAACATTAGCGACATAAAACCCCGTCGGCTAATCACAATTCGCTTGAAACTAACCGTCTTTTTTCCCTATGTAAAGCCATCGACCATAGCAAAACGATGAACATGATTTATTCGTCATCCAAAGCATCGGGTTATATGTTTAGCAATCAACTGCACATTGAAAGGCAAAAATCGAAACAGGTCCCAATTAAACCGTCCCTATTAAATGCGGATAATAAATCACATAAAAGGCTTGACGATATTTATCAATTTTCTACAGGGCCTTAACACAAAACGATATAATTGATACGTCTTGACTCGCCCCAAACTAGCAACATATGTCTGAGCCCAGTTGCTCTAATCTGGCTTACCTCAATTGCGACCCCTCTTTCAACTCCATGACAACCCCTCATGGTGCAGATATAAGGGTGGCTGCACCGGAGTTTCCGGATCCTATAGATATGTCAATTACCAGCTATGTGCCTGTTGTTTGAATTTGCCAATTGTTTCATTTCAATTCATAGTTAACTCGTCTGCCAGTTTCGCAAAATAGTAGCCTGATTTTTTTCAGGCACCCGAAATAAAACACTGCTTAATTAGAATAACTTGTTTTATATTAGGAATATGCTACCATTTTTACAATTCACTTTTTCGAGGTAGCATTTATATTTACCATAAATTAGATTATATACAAAACAGAACTGTACAAAATTTCGGTACGATGCAGAAAGCTGATAATGGGAAAATGCGGGAAATTATTGAATGAAAGTCGAGTTCCTTAGGAAAAAACCGCAACGATTTGGCCATGTATTGGGAAGACAACGCGCACCTTACACTATCATTATTTCACAGATGGTAAAAATCATTTAATCAAATACGAGGAAGACATTGTTTACCTTCGAAGAATACCTTATCTAGTTTAAAACCTACTTACTGTTCATTATTATTATTATTATTATTATTATTATTCTTTTTTTGAGTAGTTAGTTACCTATTAGGAACAATCGTTTTAAATAATTTACCTAGTTCTGCTAGGAGCGACATCAACTTACAATACAAATCGATGATAGCCATCAGTATAAATTAGGACTCTTTTCAGTAAGTCACTTGTAACAAGAGGATTTCTAGCTCTTTTACGAACATTGTTCTTAGTTCAAATGATCACTGCTCCTAGGCGGCCGAAAAACAGCGGAATCCTACATAAAATATCTCAGGAACAATCCAGGCTGGATGGGCTGCCGGCCCCACTGGGCAGCAGGAAAGGGGGGCTATGGGGCGCCATCCCTATGCTGCTCCCCATTGAAGCAGGCCCACCTGGACCTCCATAAATATCCATATCGCTCATGCTTTCAGAGCCTGAACACTTTTCGCCCGACTTTCCTTCCTGTTTCAGCATCATTCGACGCCATTTGGCGCGTGCATTTTGGAACCACACCTGGAACAAGAAGATCATTTTGTTTAGATTCAACTCATCAACTCATGAACCAGGAAAAATTACAACCAAACACAAAATCGTTGTGGAAAATTGCTTCTAAACTACTTTAGCCGAGCAAAAAACCCAACTACTTCTTGTTAACTTATTAGCATGAAAAAAACTCCAAACTGAATCATTTAACGTAAACCAATAATTATTCCGGGCGTCCAAAAGGCTCGAATCAATTCAGTCCACGTAACTAATTCGGGGTTTTCGGCATTTAACGGAAGAAGAGCATTGTATTCCGGCATTATCATTATTTAAATAAATATAAAAATTAATGGAATTAAGCGGAATCTTAACGATACATCAGCTTATCTGAAATGAATCTCGTGTAATTGAGGCTTTAATATGCCCCAGTCTGGTGCGGTTCAAAATAATAAAATGGGCGCATATCGTAAAAACATAATTTGAAAGTTTAACTGGGCATCTCATCTAGAGGATGTAAAGTCAGTAATTTAAAAAAATAACTTGTTAAATAATGTAAATTATTTTAAATTATCATTCATTAAGTTGGGACGCACGGAAGTGTTACGACTTTGGCAAATGTTCTCAGACTCTCGGAAGTTTTCACTGTTTGCTCATTTGTTCCATATTGAATAAACCAAATTAATTTTTAACTCAGGTTTCAGGCGCAAATCAATTGATATTTTTGAAGAAACTCGTGCACTTTTCTTTGATCTCACTTCACGCCGGCTCATACTTAATTTTGCATTTTTTTACCCAGCTCTATTACTTGAATTTTATTCATTCTTTTAGAATTTTATTCCAGTGGAGAACCATCATTTAATTGAAAATAATTAATTCAGCGGATGAATAAAGTTACTAGAAATGAACGAATCAAACAGAGAAAGAGAGTACTAAGTGACAAAAATGAAAAAAGGTTCAGACGGAACCGACCATTAGGAGCGACTTTTTATGCAATAAGTCTGATGATTCGCGACACTATTATACTTTCATTATTTGCAGTAGATTAGCATTTAATGGATTAATTGAAGGCCGACGCAATTACTGCAGATGCGAAATGCATACGCGAAAAGTGTCGGGGATTTTGATGAGTTTTTGAACGCGCTTCAGATAGAGTTTGGTGGCGATGTTCGCCCGATTATGCCGCCCACTATTTCCTAAGTAGATTGAAAATCAATCGAGCCGTCATAGCCGATAAATTTATGACTCAACCAGACCTTAAATCACGGTCGTCGATTTGCCGGTGGCCGTTCGGACCGTGCGTCTCTAACGAGTTCTAAAACAAACGGATACTAAAAGAAAAGAAGACAAAGACTAAAATAAACAATCGCGAACCAGTAAGAGATTTTAATGGCCCCAGTTTTTCGGGCCCAGGGCTTCAGATCGCATTCGGAATCGATCTACCCGGACGACGAATTGTGTTTCACCGTTTATTCTACCAAATTGAAATTGTCGGTTTTTCTACATCAGGATATTGCCAGTTCAACTAATTCGTTTTCTTGGGAAGCGCTTCACCTCGTTTTTTTGGTTTTCCAAGACGAAAATAATCTAACTTGTCATCGTCGATTATTTTGTTGGTTATTCACGATTATAGGTCTCTGGGTCAGTGTCTTTTTGTTTAATTTTTTCACATTTCGCTTCGGGGTCTTTTCAGCTCGCTTTTGAGTTTCCAAACAAGAAAATTACGGAAATTTGTCATCGTATGCTGGTTATTCATGATTTCAAGTCTCTTCGTTCTTTGTTCATCTCTTGTTTTTTAGTAATTTTTTTCACAGTTCGCTTTACAAGCTTTTCAGCTCGCTTTGGGTTCCCGAACATGAAAATAATCAAAGGCCTCCTTAGGCCTCCTTCTCGGTGTCTTTTAGGCGATTCCTTTCCACATTCCTCTTAGAATTTTCTTCAGCTCACTTTTCGGTTTTCAAACAAACAAATAATCAAACTTGCCATCATTCACTTTGCTGGCTATTCCCGATTTCACGCCTCCTTGTCACTGTCTTTTAGTTAAATTTTGTTCACATTTCTCTTCGGAAGCTTTTCAGCTCGCTTTTGGGTTCCCAAATAAAAAAATTAAGGAAACTTTTCATCGTTTACTTTGCCGCTTATTGATAATTTCAGGTGGCTTTGTTCGTGCTTTTTAGTCATTTATTTCACAATTTGCTTGAGACACTTTTCAGCTGCCTTTTGTGGGTTCACGAGCAAGAAAATCATCAAACTTGCCATAGTTTATTTTACTGCTTATTCCCGATTTTAGGCCTCTTTCTCAGTGTCTTTTAATCGAATTTTTTCCACCTTTCTCTTCGAAATCTTTTCAGCTCACTTTTGGGTCTCCAAACGACAAAATTAATAAAACTTGTCATCGTTTATTTTGCTGATTATTCATGATTTTCGGCCTCCTTGTGATTGTCTTTTAGCCTAATTTTTTCACATTTCTCTTCGGAAGCTTTTCAGCTCGCTTTTGGGTTTCTCAATAAGAAAATGAAGGAAACCTGTCATCATTTACTTTGTTGCATATTCATTGTCTGTCTGTTTTTTAGTAAATTTTTTTCACATTTGGCTTTAGAAGCTTTTCAGCTCGCTTTGGGGTTCCCGAGCAAGAAACTCATGAAACTTATCAACATCCACTTTGCTGGTTATTCACGATTTTAGGCTTCTTTGTCAGTGTCTTTTAGCTAGTTTTTTTCACATTTCTCTTCGGAATATCTTGAGCCAACTTTTGGGTTTCCGAACAAAACAATAATCAAACTTGTCATCGTTTCTATGCTGGTTATTCACGATTTGTCTGTCAGTGTATTTTAGTTCATTTTTTTCCACTTGTGTTAACATTTGATTGATCGTATACTTTCGCCATAATTAATCAACAATTTGTTCACTGATGGGTTTCGATGTGAGCAAAATTAAGTGGTGTTTTAATTGGATGATTCTCAACCAAAAGTGAGCGAGCAAAGGGAGGATTTTGTTGCACAACTCTTCAAAACTGAGCAGGAATTACTTTATTATGTTAGGATGTTTGATTGTGTGACTTTTACCTGTTCATGTAGGCTAAAAAATAATGCTAAAATGATTAAGTTGAAAATAGAAAGCAGGAAAAAAGAATCTATGTCAGAAAATTCAAAGGACACAGCAATAAAATAAGCTTAAACTCGACTGGTAAGCGTTGAGGGTTGCTTTTTTCCTCAACTTTCAGGCATTTTGATGCCAATTTTTTGCATAAAAATAAAGTCAAGCAATAGTTATTAGCTTTTAGTAGTGACGCAAAATTTAGATTTTGCAAGAAAACTGCACCAATTACACCGATTTTGAGTCTCCATTTATATTCAAAGCGTTATATAGCGATGAAAAACTTGTTCGTCAATTGTGTAGAATTCGTCGCTCTTAAAAGCCCGGAAAAATCCTTAAGCATCGGAAAATGGCTGAACAAAGTTCATCAGTGCCATAAGGCCCATTTTGCTGGACATTTTCCTTAATAAAACACTGGGAGGTTTTGATTTGACCAGACGATCCAAAGACGGATGAAGTACCAAATGAACAGGTAGACAGATGATGATCCACATACGAAAGATGCGATCGATAATTCCTGCAAGATGGCCAATAAAACGGGGCAATTCCGAACCCAAACGCCATTAAAGCCGGCCGGCAATATCGTAAAGCAACACAATCAATTTTTGTGTCCACAGGAAGATCATTTGGCGTAATCAGAATGCCGAAATATCATAAATCGCATCGCCAATCGATTCGGTTTGTTTCGCCCCAGTTAATGGCATGTTTATTTTAAATAAAGTGTTGGCTTTCGTGTGTGGCGAGGATTTACCAAGCCGAGATCGCTCCCATTCATAAACATGGTTAAATGTTTGTGCTGATGAGGTTCAATGGTTATTAGTTAACACAACAAGATGATTGATGCCGGGATTCAGCTGCGGCTCTGTGAACTAATCGATGAAGTTTTCTTTTGGTGTTTGTAGGTTTAATTAGGCTCAGTAGAAGAATTCGAATGAAATAGTGACCATTCATTTACTCAAGCACAAAACGCACACGATAAAGCCAATATTTTGCGCTTTCATGTTCAAATTGTTGCCATACTATGAATCAAAGTGTTGTGGCAAAGAGCAGCACAGATTAGCCTTCTGGAAATAGCCGTAGCTCTTGATAAATGCCGCGTTTGTCTGGATAAATGTAGCGCTCGCGCGCATCCAGGCTGATATATTATTTCCGAGGGGTTGTTTTTTACAGCCATCCATCTTTCTGAGAGCATGTTTTTGTAATAAACGTCAGATCTGTTCTGGTGCGTTTCGCCGGGCTAAATTTGTTGGGCAATTTGAAAAAGAAGCCCCAATTAGTGATGCGACTTTCGCTTTTTCTCTCCCCATACATCCAAAGGTTATGATTCTATTAGTAGCCGGAGGCAGGCTTTAATAATAGACATCAAAGAGCTATTGTTTAGCTAGTGTTCATGATGGTTCCAGCGTCGAAAGCCTCATTTTACTGGAATGGTCAACGGCTGAAAGTGGCTGAGGCTCAAAAATATGTTTTTTTGCTTTATGCCCAACACTGCTCAGACTAGTACCTACTCATCATTTTTGAGTAATGAAGCATTAATATTTGCAAAAGCTTTGCAGAGATTGGAAATCGAGAGCAGTTAAATCTGGCGAATCAAGAGGCCACAAGGCATTTGCTAATTATTGATTTTGATTCTTTTTCCGTCTGTAGGTATACCCAAAAAGGCTCATTTTATTCACCTTTCTATTGCAAGGGGTTTGTTTGGACCTGTGGATTCTCCTGAGTAAGAAATAATCCGTTTATTATCAAACTTGTTTTGACTTTTTTTCAGATTGAACATGAATAATTGCATTGATTAACTACCGTTAAATTCCCGTTGAAAAATTCTGAATCATAAAAATGACCGCGGTAGATATTGAGAGCAAAGTTGATTGATATTTAGCCCAACGTGAACCCAACTTCAAAACTGAAACAAAAAAATTGCATAACTATTTACGAAAGTGAAGTAAGCTTACTGCTTTGTAGCTCCTAAACAAAAAAGTCTCACATTTTTGAATGCTAACATTTGGGGGTTCGTTTGTTAGATCTTTGGCGATTATCCGTGCTGAATCGGTTGATTAAATTGTTGTCAAGTGAGTGAGAAGCAAGTGAGCGAAATGTTATTACTCAACAAATCGAGTATCGCAAGTGGTTAATTAAAAGTGGTGCGTCCAGCTAATCAGGTGAGTAAAACGTTCTGTTTTGGTCCGAATAAGGTCGGAACTATTAATAACAATAAACCGAATGTGCCGATAATCGTCTTGCGAGAAGCGGCCTCGAGGCGAATGTGCAAGAATTTCTGAGGGCCCATTATCATTTGTTTGGTCGCTTTTGTATGGCCGCGACCATCGGCAAAAAAGTAGAGTGGTAGGTATTCTACCATTGGCCAATGTCCATTGAATTCAATGGTTTTTGTTTGCGACAATTTGCAAAAGATCGAACCCGTCGAACGTGAGAATCGGAGAGGAGTCAGAATGTTATTGTTCCTATAGTCGTTAAATTCTTGTTAAAGTCGATGTTTTTCTTTTGGGATTTTTACGTCTTTGTTCGGAACGATCGCCAATGAACGAAATGGGGGCTCAAATGGACGTCCGAACTGTATGGGAAACCAATGTTTTCATACAGCACTAGACGGTTTATCGAAAATGTCGTGTTTATTTTATTGATCGATATGGAAATTCCCTTGTATATTATTCACAATTTAAGAGTTGGCTTCTTTTATGAGACAGTTGGGTCGACATTTTACGCTCCCCATCTGGAAAATGCGATTCCTCCCCTGCCACCCGGAAGGGAAATAAATCTGAACGTCGTTTCCCCCTAGTCGGTGGCTCCAATTACTCGAGCCAACGACGTGAACCCTCGAAATCCCGAGGGATCTCGCAAAATGAAACGGGAGAATCTTTTTGATGACGTGGGACGATGCCGCCAGTCCTTAGACGCCATTTTTCCTTTTATTCCGACTTTTAAAAGCGGAAAAGAAAACCTTATTTTACTTTATATAGATCGGGAACGTTCAACATGATCCTGCTACTTCGTGCGTGCAAAACAGATTCAGCCCCCTTTCATATGCTCACTCTGGCTGACTTAACACTGGAAACTGGAAACATTTCCTTAATAAGCGCAATGTTTTTTTTTTGGGGTTCTTTTCCTGCTGGTTTAGGTTAATCGGGTTTTGAAACCATCTCCGGCCGAAATCATATGTGTTACTAATTCGATGCAAATTAAGGCTCGCCTTTTATAATAAGTTTGCATTACCTCCTCTGAGCTGATTGATGCATAATCAATCATACTTAATTGCCCAACAATTAATCATTCATTTCTGCTGGCTCGTGGCCGGTTCGCCGAAATTTGCATTTTATATGGCCGACTTGTCGCCGCAACGTGATGGCACAAAAACGATTTGAAAGTGCATCGCGAAAAGCTGTTATTGAGCTTATTGGCTTTAATGCAAATATATGCATCAGCTGGGGGTTTAATTGTGCAATTTCATATGCAGCGTATTTTGGAAAAGCTTCAGGTTTTCGTTCGTCGGACGACACACAGTTGTGTGTTTCGTCAGACATCCTCTCAGAGGTTTCAGGATCTCATATTTTTTATAAACCTCCAGGATTCTTTTGATTTTATGCCACCAATCTAGTTCCTGCCACTTCTTTTCCAAACTTGATTGTTTGCTTCTATTCCTGCAGGTTCAAATTTCTCTATATTCTCTTTTGTGTTGTTGTTTTTACGTATTCAACCATCTGTGATAAAACCTTTGCATTTGTTTTTCCATTTCTTGCACCTTGTCGTTCCAACAATACCTAACACTTCTTTCCCTCCTTCTATCTAAAACATTCTGCTCAAATCAAACACAGGAAGTTCCTTTTATCAACTGGAAATTCACGCTGGAGAAAATGCTACGAAAACAGGAAAATTTCCCATTTTTTGCAGCTTTCTTTCCATCCGGTTCCCTTTAGGTAACCAATCGAGCGCGAGTTTCGCAGCGCTTCCATTCATTACATCATTAGCTTTTCTTCTCTTAGGGGGAATTCCGATTCATCTATCATATAGGAGTTTTTCGCCTACCTAGAGATCCACCAAAGACAAGACTAATTTGTCCGGTGGCAACACAGAACTGTGTCTATTTCCGTTAATTGCTGCAAGCTCGCTGTCCGATGAGAAATGACTGCGAGGTGACTGATTGTCAGCAGGCATTTCCTTTCGGTTTTGTTGCCTGCTTAGATTTAGTATCCCGCCGCATTGAAAACACTTTCAAATCGTTCCATTTGCCACACTTTTCCGTATGCATTTAAAAAAAAATATGACTGTATTACCTGTAAAACTCGTTTAGGTAGGCCAGTCTTTTGGGACAATTGTTTCAGGTCTTTCGCATCCGGATTGTGGTTGATTGCGAAATACGATTTCATCGTTCTGAGCTGATGGTGTTTGAACGAGGTTCGCATTCGCTTCGTTCGTTGGTTCGAACCGTGAAGACCTGGAGCGCCTGGCGACCGGCCAAATGGAATGTCTAAGTAGTCTTGGTTCAAATCTGGAACAATAAAAACACAATTAATGAGCGAAACAACAATATAAACGAACAAATTTTGTAAAGTTCCAACCAGAATTGATTTATAATTATTTATCAGCTCTTGACTCTTGACGGTGCATAAGAAAGCAACTTCCAAAAGAAAGGAAACGAATGAAAGTTGGCGTTAACTTAAAAAAAAAAACAAAAAACTCCCAAACCAGAGTAAAAATATTCAATTTTTAGGGCGCTTAGCAAACGAGTCAATAAACATTCAGGAAAACAATCAAACTAATCTATAAACGTTCCAAATTTTAACGCCTTCCGAACTGTCTGAAAAAGTCTGAAAACAAACAATCAGGAGGTTAAGCAAAGCTTTGGAAACAAATGGGTAACAAGCCAAAATCGAATCTTCTGGGACAATTTATGCCACATGGAAAGAGCGCCAGATAATATCCATACAAGAAATCAATCGAATTCATGAAGGTCCAGATTTCTTAAAGCCTTCCAAGCTCGAGCCTAGAACCAACAGTCAACAGTTGCTCCAAAGCTCAAGAAAATATTTCTAACTTCAAACCACTAAAGTTCGACACAGAACTGTTATTTTTATAGTTTTTGTAGTTAGTTACCAGCTCTGGCTGCCACACATGAGATCATTTGCAAAAAGATATGAAAATTGGCTTTAGGGTGAAATGAAACAGTCAAGCGTTCATGCAAATCTTTGGAAAATTATTCCCAGAAAAAATAATTTTGACATTTTTAGAAACAAACAGCAAAAGCATCCGCAGATATTGAGCAACAAAATAATTTAATCCTGAATCGTGCCTTTCGGGATCGTGATTCCTTCGATTAAAATTCGTCAAATTTTTAACTCCTTCCAAACTGTAGCCTGGAAAGAGTCAAGAGCTCATGCAACGCTTTGGAAAAAATGCATAACTCCAAAACCAGATAACCAATATTTTTTAAATGTTTCGCTAACATCAAAAACATGTCCGGAAATATTTGGGAAAAAACTCATTCGAATACATCGACGCACTGATTTTTGGGAACCTTCCAAACTGGACCCAGAAAACAAACTATCAAGAGTTCGTGCAAAATCACGCAAATCTGCAACCAGACGCACGCAGAATCAATAAGGTTCAAAGCGGATTTGTTTTTTTATAGCTTTATTTAGTTAGCAATAAATTCTGGATGGTGCTGGTTCATGCAAAGCTTGAGAAACTTATGCCCAAATCGCAAATCAGAACAAAACAAAAAATCCTTTTGGAAATTTCGAGCGCATGTCAAAAGCGCCAATAAATATTTAGACGAAAAATTGAGCAAATCCATAGACGCGTTTTTAAAACCGTTCAAACTCGAGCTTGACAACAAACAGTTAAGACTTACTTACGAAAAAATGTCTAACTCCCAAACAAGATGAATGTTTTTGAAATTTGTATGTCGCATTGAAAATGCATAGGGAAATATTCGGAAAAATAATCAAAAAAATCCATCAGCACATAATTTTTTAAAACGGTCCAAACGCGAGGCTGAAAACGAACAATCAATATTTAATGCAAAGCTTTTGAAAAAAATGTCTAACTCCTAAGCAAGGCAACGGGTTCTTTCGAAATTTGTAGGTCGGATAGGAAAAAGCTTACGAAATATTCCCACAGAGAAACAATAAAAGTCCTGAACGTGCAAATTTTTTAAACCCTTCCAAACTCGAGCCTGAAAACAAACAGTTAAAAGTTCCGGAACAACTCTGAAAAAATATTTCGCACTCAAAAATCCAGACAAATTAAATTGTTTTTTTACAATTTTCAGCACATAGCAGAGCATTTGAAAATATTCAGAAACGCACTCAATGGAATGAACCAAAGGAAGTGAAACCAAACGCTAGTTACGAAATAGTGCGAAGCTCTAGAAAAAGTTTATTTTTAAGTCCCATCAGTTTGCAATTTTCTTGGCACATCCAGCGAGCGTTTAGTAAAAATTTTGCCGAATTGCTTCAATTTTGATTATTAGCAAGTGCTGAATGTACCCATAAAATCAGAGATAGCTTCAGATCTTTTTTATGTTGTTTCGAATAGTCGATCTACTCCCTTTTCACTCAACTCAGCTCATTCTTCATCAACCCAATTCGATCCTTTGATTCTTTTCTTCATTGCCATAAGTCACTATTGCTGAAAATCAGTGAGCCCTTCATTCCATTATACTATGTTTTGAAGCGTTGTCGACCCACATACGGCTAAATATAAACAAGTTTTGAAAACATTCACGCATATTTTGATAACAATCATAATTCCTGATAATAGATTGTGGTTGGTAGTCGGTTTCGGTTACACGTTTGAAAAGGTTTGTTGTGAAGCTCGATGCGAAATATCTGCCACGCGTCCCTTGGGAAAGCCGCTCAACCACAATTAAAGATCGGTATCTATTGAAAGAGTGGCTAAAATGGACTTGATGAGAATATGGGGTTGTTACATGGGAAAAGTTATGTAAACAGCTTATGGATTAGGGGTTTGTCCTGGAAAGAGTTCCGCTAAATTCCAGCGAATAGTAAAACTCCTCCGCGCCTGAAGTAGTAAAGTTTCAATAGCGATATAATCTAATCTAGCCAATCGGGCGATAGGAAAAAATCCGGTCGATTGGAACTAGTTTTTGTGTAATCAAGTTCGAGTTAGCATAAATTTTACTGCACTCTTAAACTCGAGTTATGCATAAAATTACTGGAAGGTTTCGTTTATTTGCTTTCAGCTGTTCCTCCTTGGAGAGCCATTAAATTCAAGTTTTTCATCAGGCTTTCCTTACTTCCTTAACTGTTCAATTTTCATCTTTTCTTGATTACTCATCTACTGATCTTTGCTTGAGCAATTTGTTTCCTGTGGTCTTTATCACTCCTTTTGCTTTCGAGAAAATGTCAACATAAAATCTTCACTCACATTTTATATGCATCCTTTATGATTCACTCAACGTGAATATTTTATTCGGACACTAACGGCAATGTTCACACCTTCAACTTTTCAGCAGTGATGTGTGAAATTGCCCCATAATAAAAAGCCACAAAAACAACATAAAAAACCATCTAACAATACATTTTGTGTGTTAATAACTATATAGCTTTACATAAATGCGCCCCGTTGTAGCTGCAGGGTAATAAACTAAGAGGATGAGGGTTAAACCTACAAAGGGTCGGACAAAAGCACCTAAAGCTTTTTTAGAGCTGGGTTTATTTCAGGGGACTGGTTTGTAAATTGTGGCACAAAAAAAGATTGATTGAATACGTTGCTAATAATTCAAAGCGCAAGAATGTGGGAGAAAATTGCGATTAGAAAGTTTGCTTCAAAATAAGGAAAAAAACGCGATAAAACTACAGGGACATTTTTTCCAGAAAACAAGGTTTTTATTGGGTGCAGTTGGACGAAAAGTAATAAAACGTCTGCCGTAAAATTCATAAACATACCGTTCTGAGCTTGATTTTTATTGTTGCCGATGACTACGCAGCTGAGCAATATTTTATTCTTTCGGCTATTAAAAACAGTGGCCAACTCCCAGATTGGAATCCGTCCAAAACAAAAATTGAAAAGTTTGAAAAATCGTCCCAAACCTCTTCATTCCCGTTCGCTGAAGCTGGATGATTAATTTAATTTAATGGCCAGCGTATAAAGCCACAATTACCACCCGCTAATTTCAGCTCGAGGTAGAATCTTTCAACGACCGCAGAACTTAAATAAATCTTCCAGCCAAAATCAACTGGTTAATAACCCATAATCAGCTTGCGGTTTCTGACCTTTTTGCTGTCGTCTACTTTACCTAATGTGTTAAGATTATTGGTGGTTTTCAAGAAAAGCCGCCCGCAGGTATTTCTTCGAGATTAATTGCGTCTTTCTCTCTGCGTGAACTGTTCGAATTTTGCCACGAAAATTACTGCTATTAATATTTTTGGCAAATGTTTGGTGATTTCATCTCGATCATATTTCATCAAAAAATCAATCAATATATAAACGCACCGGTTTTTGAAAAACCGTCCAAGCTTGAGCCTGTGGAGAAAAAAGCCTTGCAAACAAAACTTCGAACTATGAAGGCTTTCACGGCCGGTCAGATTACATTTAGGAATGTTTTCCGGGACCGGCAAAACATTCCTAAATGTAAAACTTCGAACTCTCAAGTGAGACTGCGGATCAATTTGCAATTTTTGCAGGACATAGAGAGAGTCTTCCGAAATTTTTGGGATAAATATTAGTTGAATCATTGACAGGACTGATTTCTGAAATGCTTCAAAACTCAAGCCTGAAGAAAAACAGTCAGCGGTTCATGCAAAGATTTTTAAAGAAAATCTAACTCCCAAACCAGAAAACGCATCCTTTTTAAAAACTTCGAAAGTATAGAGAACGCGTCCGAGAATATTCAGGAATAAAATAAATCAAATCCATCAGCCAACTGATTTTTGAAACCATCCAAACTCAACGCTGAAAACAAACAGTGAAGAGCCTTCGTGCAAAGCCTTCAAAAACACAATTCCCTCGTCAGACAAGGAATCATTTGAAATATTTTTCTATACAACATAGAAAGTGCGGCAAAAATATTAGGAACAAAAATACATACATAAACATTTTATGAACAGTCGAGAGTTCGTGGATGTTCAAAAATTGTTCTGACTTCGAACCGAGATATCAATTCTTGAAGCACATAGACCGAGTGTTTGAAAATGTTCTTAAAAAATATTAGTCGAATTCGTAAAGGTACTGATTGTTTAAATCCTTCGAACCACAAACCTGAAAAGAAAAGCGTTGAAAAAAATGTCTAACTTCCAAACCAGATAACGCGTTTTCTGAAATTTCTAAAGGACGTAGAAAAAGCATCAGAAAATCAGTCGAATCCATAAGCATCTGGTTAACCTTCCAATCTCGAGCCTAAAAACAGAAAGTCAAGAGTTCGTGCAAAGATGTGAAAAGTCTTACTCCCAAACTAGACCGAAAATCCTTTAGAAAGTTTTCGCGCACATAAAATTAGCCATATCGAAAATTCAGAAAAAAAAATGAATCACCTCCATGAACATACTGATTTCCTTTCTCGATTCTTGACTTGATTCTTCAAAAGTTGAAAAAAAACTTCCACACCAGAATAGAATGAATATCCAGGAATGTTTGCGAAAAAAAAATTGCATCTTTGCTGACTCTCAATGTGGACGCTCAAAAATGACTTAGTCGACTTTTAACCGAAGACTTATTCCTTACTCTGGACTTTAAAACTTTACATTTGGATGTTAAGGAGCTTCTTGAATAGCAAACAATCCAATGAGCGCAAAAACACGGTAGTGAAATTTTGACTTTTGAGCGAAAATTTCATAAGGAGGGAGGGTTGATTTTTTCGTAAAATATAAAATCTCTCCAAATTTCTCGAATTTTATATCATTTTCAAGGGAACGATGCCAGGAATGCTAAAAGGCCTTTAAAAAACATATTGCACTGTTCAGATCGGAAATAATCAACATTTTCTGTTCATTTTGAGTCGGTTTTGAGCGGTCACGATCTTCGACAAAAAAACCACGCAAATCTAAAACTTCTTGAATTCAAGCATTTTTTGAGAAAACTGCCAACATTTACTCTATCGATGGTTCACTTTCTAAAAAGGCCAGTTATTTCTCTCTAGAATAATGTACAAATTAGCGTTCTTGCTCATTTTGCCTCCGAGAAATGAGCAAAAACGGGACGGAAAACATGAAATTTTGGCATAATCTTGCACCTAAGT